ACAAAACGTCATAAACATTGATTTCCGTACAATCTAATTCAATCCTAAAACATACAAATGAAAATTTTCGATTATGTTAACAATATCAGAGGTAACAAAATGAAATGCTTCCGAAAACGTCGGTAATTTGATTTTCGCAGAACATAAAGAAAGGCCTAAGGTAAGCTTCCAAACTGTACATTTTCACATATCTGATTATATTTTCATATACCTACCTCTCATATATTTTATTTGTTATATGAGAAAATATGTTAAATAACAAATAATTGAATGTAATAAATAAAATGTATACTAACAGACCAGTTTTGGGGCCGAATAGTTTCAAATATTTATTTATACTTAAGGAATATTAAAGATATGCAGTGATATAAAATAGTTAATGAATTAAGTAAAAAGTCACGTAAGTGACGACACAGACACTAACTCACGTGATAGGGTAAAAAGAGAGAGATATATCTTTTAACTAACTTAATTTTGTCCCGTACGTGACTGTTCATGAACCTATTGTTAGACCGAACAGAAACAAAAACAACTCCACAACAAATAACACTGAGATTCCAATCAGCCGTTCAGAATCGTTATTATAACACGGCGACCACTCACAGGCTTCATTTGTAGTTAGAGTGAAAGATCCACAACTCAGTGAGTAGGTACTGCTGATTTCTGCGACAACTCAATTTCGCGTCCCAATAATCGCGAACGAAAAAGACCAAATCAATTCCGGTAACATTACGCGTCGCTCGTAAATCAAGCGTGTGGACGTAAACGAGTCACGCCCCGTGCCAAGTGCATTAGTTTACGTGGCTTTAAAAACCCCAATTGCAACACTATATTAACGATCTGTAATGTGTTCCGTGCGATCTAGAAACGTGACAATAAAATCCCTCATTATATTACGAATGATTTCATTGAACAAACACACTTGGTTCATTGGTTTGTTCTCCTTTCGCAAAGCAAATTCTTCCATGAGGGTCATTAGCTATTTTCAATGTAATACATGTGTTATGCGGGGATAATTTACAGTAACTAATAGATCTGGAGACAAAATTTAAGTCATTGAGTTAACCTAATAATGACCTATGATAAAGAAATCATAGTTAGGTTAACAGCATTCGTTCGGAATATTTCGCTCGATAGTATTAGAATTGTCATGGCAGAGGTAATTGAGCTACTCATTGCAAACCACTTAACAATGCTAAATGATACTAAGGGGGTCCTAGTCACTAAGAGCCTTGAAGCGGGTAAAGATGCTCAGATCTTAAAAAGTAGTAAGGTCTAACAGCCTGCATATGTCCCACTGCTGAGCAAAGGCTTGCTCTTTGTAGACGGTATTAGAGCATCGGCCATCACTGCGGATTGTCGGACTTCCATATCTTCGAAACATTTCATTAAATTATTATTTCTAAAATATGCAGCTTTACTCAATTTTCGTTTTAATAAATTATTCCATTCTGATAAGCAATATTGTGGATTAATTTAGAATCGACCAATTTTCTTATAGTAATAGCTTAATGCGTCGTTAAGTAGAATACGTTCAGGTTGATAATCTAAAGCCTAGCTCCGTCCGTCAGGTCTTATTTAATCGCTTCGCACGAAACTAATCCTGTCGACGTTGCGAGACATCAATCCCACTGAACTGACGGTCAAATGAAGCCAGACAACAGATCAGCTACGGATACGAACAGTAGAAGTTAGTATTAACCTATCCATGCCTCAGGTCCTATCCGCAAAGACTAATCTAGTTTAAACAATGCGGTAACATTGCTACCACCATGTTTACTATATAATAGTGTATATGAAATTTTGGTAGCGCGTATCGCATGCCTGGTTGCTATTATCTTCTATAGAACAGTTGCACCCGTTAAAATTGTAAACACAGTTTTAACTGCTTCAGGGTCACATAGAAGCTTCTGCTGAAGTAATACCAGGGCAGGTCCATCCGGGGAAGTACTCACAGATCGGCGTGAAGTATAAATGTTATACTTCTCCGTTTCGTCCGGTGAGTTAGGTAATGGGGGCCCAAGTTATTAAAAGGTCGCAACGCATCTGCAACCATATGGGTGTTGCAAATTTTAAAGGTTGTATAACGCAAACGCAAGCCCATAGATTTTTGGATGTCTATGAGTGGAGGCAGTCACTTTACGTAAGTTGAAACGCATCTCTTTTTCATTATAAAAATTTTATTGATCCCTAGTTTGTACAGGTCTAATATTTTTTTTTTAAAAACTTGGAAATGGGTTATCATCCAGAGGTGGTATGTTAAAGGTAATCGCATTACCTTATCTACACAAACCTTGGAGACACAAATGCAAAATGGATAAACGGATGCTGACATATTTTTTATATTTGTTCAGATCTATCCATGCTTAAAAGACAAAACGATTCTTAATTAAATGATGTTTTCGCTTTGAGTCCGTAGACTATTAAAGCTTCATCAAACGCGGAGCTAGGTAGCTAGATTTTACGAGGTTGATACAATCCTCCATGTGGTGAAGGGTCACGCCTGTGCTTAACGTGCGTAATCTACTATGGAAAAGTTATCTCCAAAAGGAGTAAAAGCGAAATGTATCATCGACAAATAATCCAGTAAATATAAAATGCGCCTGTATGGAACATATGTGGGTCTTGGCTAATCAATCGCTTATTCACGATGCTGCCTTTGCATTGATGTGAGACTCGATCATTGGCATACTTCCGCGCGTTGCCAAAACTGTCACGCAGTGACACCGCGTGACAGATTCCCAGCGATTCCAGGCATTCGACGCGTGGTGCATTCGCGAGGATTTAATTTACTGAAGCTCAACACGACAGAGCCTTTGCAAAGAACTACTTTAAGAAGACATGTGTATAGATTAAGTTAACGTAAGATGCAATCGATGAATCGCAGTTTTTTAACAGGTGAAATTAAAGAAAAATGCAGATAGTGTACGGTTTTCGAAATGTCTCAACAGCAATCTAGTTCTAAGTTTCTAAGTATTTTGTATATATATATATATATGTTCTTGCTGGTTAAATAAATGATTTATTATTATTATTATTATTAAAAATAGAAAGTTACTGAGCAGAGGCATAGGACATTGCCAGAGGTGAGCGGTTGTCACCTCAATAACTATAAAAATGTTCCGTTAGTGAACGCTTTTGCAAGAAGTATGTACATATTGTTTTGCATAATAAACTTTAGAATACGTATTGAGAAAAAAAAAAGTAAAATTCGATTCAACAGAACTCAAAAGCTCTGTTTTGTTCCGAAATACTTGCGATGGATCTGAAATATAGGAATAAAAGCCTGGTTAACTGGTTCGTTAATGTTTCATTCACTTGTAAATATAAAAGTTTTCGCATAATTTTCAACGATTTAACTTCAAAAAGATGATCCGATAGACATGACAAACTTCGTGCTCGTTATAAAATTGAGCCTTGAAAAACTGTTTTGGATTTCTGAGAACTGCTTTGATGTCGAGCGAAGTTAACGGGTGTAACTTTACGAAGTAATGTTAATCTAATAAATAAATCAAGCCTCCAGAACTTTAGTAACGTGGATTTCCCAAGTTAATTTACTAAGTGAAATTCATTATTTTTGGCAATAAAGCATCTGATTAAATTGAATGTTTCAATTTTTACGTTTTTACTTTTAAATGAATTTCTTTTTTGGTTATTTAATACAATTAGTTCTCTAAATTATGCTCAATGGTCAAATGATTTTTTTAAGAGTTTTTTTTTAACTAATCTAGCTAGATAAGGTTTTTTGATGTAGGCTGAAACTACATTAAAAAACTATGCGTAAAAATACTGTACAAAACACATCATGTATGACATATTCCTGATAGTAAATTTATTCAACTTATTTGAAACCTGTTAAAATTAGCAAATGCCTCATTGACTTATTTTGTGTAAGAAAAAATAACAGATTTCGAAATATTTTGAGCAGCTCTGAATTTAAAATTTCAAAACTTACTCAGGTTTCACTGCGCCATATGAATTTAATATCGTTTCATCATCAACAATGTTGCCATTGTTGTAATGTATTTAAATGAATCCGTCAATGAATTTAAAGCAGCGGCCGCGGAGGAAAAGCCGGTGTGCTGTGAACGTGACTGAACCATTGTCTACGCCCATTGCTTTAAAATTAGAACAAGCAACACCAAAACCCGAAATAAATCGTATCGATTTTGACAAGTTGTCGTTGGGTAAAAAGTGAGGGTTATGCACACTAATTTAGGCGGTTCTCTGTACTGACTCAAGTATTACTCTACCCAAGTATAAAACAAAGAGAATTTGTTAGTTATAATGTCGAATTCCAACGATGATGCTATTTTCTCGCCTCTACCAATTTATATGCCTATAAATAATTAAAACTATATACAGTAATTGAGAAACTAAGACGTAAATCACCTTAGATTCATGTGTCACCACTGGTTTTATATATGGTGCTTCAAACGTCAAAAAAAAAAAAAAAGATTAATCGAATGTAATATTGATAAAAAAGTTTAATTCCCGTATAACTAGTATACAATTACGTCCTTTATAGTATCCGTAACAAATCCTGGACATAGAGTGGTGAAATAAGACGAGCTAAATAGAGAGGAGTACACAGTGTTTATTTTCAGACTAATTAGTATTCTGCACGTGCGCGGAATGCACTCGGATATTTGTTTTCTGCCGAATTGCGTACAACAATTGTCGTCGACGAGCGTACGAGAGAATTGGCGACGTGATTCGCTTTGATATTCGATTTAGGAGCTCTACAAAATTTCGTGGACAGCATTATCGGAGACAATGATGCAGACGAATGGTCGATGACGACACCGACAAGGTTGGTTTCACTCTAAGATGTAGCAGATGATGATGATGATTGATACAGATTGTATTGTCAGGTAAACCATGCATTCATTATTCCTGTTAGACAACCCTGTCATTTTTTAACCATCGCATCGTAGGCATTCTACTAATTTTTATCGTAGACATGTTAAATAACGACGTGGAGCCATCGATACCGTCTAATGTCTGACCGCGGCCGAATCGACTATGGATTTCGTAGCACCTGAAGCGCGTAACCTAATACGCGTAGACCGGACGGTCGAGGGTTGGGCGAGGCGGTCGAGAGCTGGCGTGGACTGACACGCCGCCGTCCCACATTGCCACGCATCGGCATCCGGGAACCGAATCGCCATCCGCCAACTGACAGCCCTATTTATAAGCCCCGCGGCCAAATCGGTCCGATCACCTGCACTAAATACCGGCCGACGCTTCGGAAACAAAGAGCGCGCATCGCACAGGGATTTTATTTCGAGTGCCCCGTCTCGTCTCGTCTCGTACGTTTCGCTAATGACCGTCGTGTCACCGGCTTCGGGGTTTTTTTTTTTCTCTCTCATTCCTTCTTCTTTTCCATTGAACTATTTTAGGACGAGTGGCGGCCTAGAGACGCGAGCAGAAGGCGTATCGGCTTTTAGTAAGTAAGACAATTTTCACTATTTGAATAATCACTTAAAACACTAAAGCACAAAATCGTGATATCCCTTCCCATTCTTAGTGTTGATGGCAAATTTAGAGAGACAATAATTTTGGACAAAAAAAAACCGACTTCAAACAGGAGACTAAAAACATTGTCAACACTTATAACATTTGAGGATTGCCTTCGATTTCTCTGGGATATCATCATCAGATCCGGGTTTCCTTATCATTGTACCACCCTTGAGATATCTGCTTCCCAACAAAAAAAGAATCATCAAAATCGCTTCGTAAATGACCAAGGTATCCACGAACACACATAAAAAAAAAAATGTATACGGTCGAATTGAGTAACCTCCTTCTTTTTTGAAGACGGTTAAAAATAAAAATAAAAAACGAACTGCGGTGCTAGTATTCAAAATATGAGCCACATGTTAACATTTGTCCTGATTTGTATGATTGATAATCCAATGGCAGCTGAATACTTTTAGCTGTATTTTGGGTTATCAATCATTGCAGTAGAAGACCTTCTTATTGAATTAACCGTATTCAGAATTCGATATCTTTCCTCATAAAATCTTTTTGTAAGTTGATCTATTCAGTAGAAGCAACGGTTTTGTGTCTCCTCTGATTCTGAATCTTTTTCATAGTAAAGCCGTCTTTGCCTTTGCCTACTTCTCCGTATGATAACAAATCTCTAAATATCTGCTTTAAATGTTTGTTTACTACTAAACGCTAAAGATCAATGTTTAATCATACGAACTACTAAGTGAAAACGCAAAGTAATTAATAAATTAGCACAAAGAAATGATATGATTGAAAGTTAAGTTTTCTCGAAATCAAAAGTGTTGGCAGCAAGCGAAGTGTTCTCCGACCGTAAGTTTTCATCTTTCACCTGCCTTTGTTCTAGCTAGGTGGGGTTGGGTGGTATTTGGCCAGGTTTTTTTACGACAGGCCGGTGGCCTGACATCAACCCTCCGTGGGAACAAATACTTAGGAAAAACTTTATCTGGAATAATTATCACACAAATACTTTTCCCGTATGGGAATCGAACCCCCCACACACAAGGGTTTAGCATCTACGCCACCGAGAGTTCTCTGACTATATGATGACGAATTATATCTATGACGTTTTACTCAAAAGTCACAGAGATTCATTTATGTTTATAAATCGTAAATTTGTTCAATGTTGGCGGACAATGAGTATCAAAATACAAATTTCCGTTGAAACAGACATTTTCTCGGAACATGTTTCAATAATATAACACCGCGGTGAAACATTTAAGGGGGCATATTGAGAAGCAGCTTAATGATTTCAAACATTATACGGATATATTTTGTATTGGTCTGTTTTGAATATGCATAGTGTCACTGCCTATTAAGGTCGAAGGTTGGTACAGTAATAACTTCGGAGCGCGACAAAACTATGCTAATAGTTGTATTCATATGTATGAATACTACTTTCATTAGTTGCTAAAACTCTGTGGGCTCGGTTGGGAATATTCTTAGCTTTCACGTTATGGGTATAGGTTAAGCGTGAGTGCGTGAGTACAGCGTGAGTGCGAGTGTAAATTGTAATGTGTACTTATTGTACGTGTGTACAGTGTACTTATTATGTCTAAATTTTGTGATTATTGAGACTTTTTTAGAATTTATTCAAAACTTGTATCTTTCTTTGTTCTCGAAAGATCAAAGTATGACCCGGAATAAGGGCTGTCGACGAGTTAACGTGTGCCTAAACTGTAAATACGACGCAAGAGAAACGTCGTAAGTTATAAATTATATATTGAGGGAGTATCTTAAACGAATGTAAAGCGGTTTATCACATATAAAAACAAATTGGAATAGGAAAATAAATAGATTTTTCTATTTAAATTTGTATAATAAAGATTTTGTTGTTATAAATGTTCCATGATAGAATCTTTTTACAATAGAGATCACTGAATTTCTGAGTTTCGTTTCAATTTGTTCCTGTATATTTTGGATGTTGTTTCGTTATGAATTTACAATTATTAAGCAGCGAAATTGCTATTTAGATATCTTAATGTAAATTTATTAGATGTTAGTCTTATATTTAATATTTTAGCGAATCCTAAAAGTGAAAGATTAAAACGTATTTGCGGCCTTGCCAAGTCAACAGACAGTTATTCAAATTTTATTCTTTTTTCGTATTTCGTAAGTTGTTGTAACTAGTATAAGTAACGCAAGGTTTACCGTATCTTTGTAGATAAAAACCCCATAAAATAAAAGATGTAACAAAATATTAAGCAGCACTCACCATAAACTTGCATTTTAATTTCTCATAATACGTCGGTATCAAAATGGATATTTCATGATTACACTGGATTTACATATTTGTTACGTTACTTACAAATCGGATCAAACCATTTCTTGTTGAACAATAGGCATTTGACGGAAAAAATATTATTAGTCATTGTCAATAGTAAATAATATCCGAAATATACAAGAGCACAGACTTCATTTATATGAACGAGCGATATGGTCATATATAAAATGTCATAAAAAAGTTTTAATCAATTAAAAACCCACGTTTAGGTGGCCGGTGTTAAGTAACTTCACTTTTGCATTTCGTCAGGAAACCCGAGGTTTCCTTTTCAAATATTGGAGATGATCAGGTTAACTCTCGCGTTGCGAGCACCCACGGGCCGTGATCACTTAGCTTGCGAGTCGCTTGCTTGTTTATACAGCCACCCATTAAAAAAAACAAAAATTTGTGTGAACCCTGAATTTTTTGTATTATGATATTTCCTCGAATTGGGTTGATTGTACATTTATAAAAATGCTAGGGTATAGAACTGGGAAGACTAATTACGTAAAGCTTATTTCGAGGAAGAGCAGAAAAAGTTATCGACAAATTATAAAATATTTTACAATAAACATTTCATATTTAATGTAAAAATAATGTGTAGTTATGAACCTTATAAGAATTTAATGAAGAATAGGAAGACGTTCTATCAACTGATATTAATAGATGAATTGTCGGAAAACTTTGGGACATTACCGACTTTAGTTAAATATTTAATTGAAGTTTCATCTTAAGTGCACATTACACTAAAAGTAATCTTAAACGTCACTCTACTTTTGCTATTAATTACATTATACTTTTAATCTTAACATAAACTCCACAATATGCGATAACGAATTATACGGAAGCGGGTAAAAAAGACTTTGATCAGATAAAATTTGCATCGTGCAGTTCTTCTCCATTAATTTTCGCGTTCGTTGTTATGATGTACATTTAAGCGGCGGAGTTATTTTAATTCCCGTTACGACAGGAAGGGTAATAAAGCGAAATTAACTCGTGAGTTTGCATCTTTTATGAACTGTTTGATTGCACTGCCGCTACTGACGTGTGATTTTATTTAAAAGTTTTTTTTAAACTTGCTTGGCGTAAATTCTCGGGAAATGTCAAATAAAATAATGCCATTAAAAGCAGCGCCTTCATGTAATATTTGTCGTTCTGTCAGCGTGTAAGGACTTTTGGATTTTTAGAAAGTATTGTAAAAAAGAGTTTCGTAACGCATTTGATTGCCTTTCACAACTTCATGTTTGGACAGTTTTGGAGTATCTTCTTTGTGTTCGATCGATCAACACTTTTTAAAGTTGCTACATAATTACAAAATACAAAGAATATTTTGTACAGAGTTTTTTAAAATATCTATTTAAAAATGGTCCTAGCAAATTTCCAATGCGGCTATAAAATTAGACGAAATAAAAAAAAATCAAATACAGAATGTGCTAAAATCCACGAGAGTATTAAAAATGTATTTAAAAAGAATTGCACAAACACGCACTCAAAAGCCAGCCAATGCAATCGGACACGCGGCCTAATGAAAATGGACGTTTAAAAATACAAATCGACATAACAACGACAAACTTCAAGAATGTAGCCGAGTTGGGATACTTTCACGTTTATCACTAACGCAATAAGAGTGACGTGTGTCGTAAATGTAAGCTTGGTTAATACGATCCGTTGACGGCGCGAGCTGAGTGAGATGCGAGGCGATGGATCGCATCCGTCAAATGAGATGTGACGTAATATGCATATGTATGATGGACGCGTGAAATAATGTCCATTAATATAATATACACGTTTCTTTTTTATGCTCGTTAAAAGTGATTTTTCAGCGCTTTCTTCATCTACTTTTCTTTATTATTTTAGATATGTGCAAACACTACAAAGTCATGATATAAAGATAAGATAATGATAACGTGGGTTTCCATGGATGTGTTTTGGTGAACGTTTTACATTATGAAAATTGTCGTCTATATCGTAATCTAAATACTCTATAGTACTAACCGAGAGCCGTTAAATTAAAAATATTACTTATTCTTTATTATTTGTTGGGACTTGTAAATGAAATGTATTGTAGATAATACGTATAGTAAAATTATTTTTTAGTCCTTTATATAAAATAGCAGTAGTGTCTGCACAATAAGATTTTTCAAAATGGACACATCACTTTGCTGCAATATTGATAAAAATATATTTAAAATCGCCGTCTATTTAAATTTTAACATTCAAAATGTTAAAATTCATTTTTTGTTTGGAATGCAAATATAACGCATGGAACCCAACTTAAGTGGGTAAACTTTTAAGTGGCCATTTCGCTACGGGTCTAAGGGGGTAAATGTGTTGGTCCCACTTTATGACGGGTACCAAGACTTTGTGTAACGGTAAGCAACATAAGTGTTATGTGGAATTTTAATGAGATTTCGGGAGGCGTCCTTCAAAGATCCCTCACATTCCCTCAGCAGGCTAATAATGTGCGTGACGAAAATTTCCATTAACGAAATATTTGTCCCCATTTACTTTTAGATACTAAATACGTACCTAATAAAAATCCCTTTTAAATATGTAGTGTTGAGGAATGAAATAAAAAAATTCGATTCAGGCAAACTC